TCCGCGCCGACCGCCTACTCGCCAACCACTGTACTAGATAAGAGAGTGAAATTGGTATTTAAGTAGGAACATTTTTGGTAATAAAGACGGATTGAATCCACTTTAATCAAGAGTTTTCATTTGCGATCCAGATCAAGAACCTGAACAATACAGTCCACCGAACAAGAGCTAGAACAACAACAATCTCTGGTCCTTCGAGCCGGATTCGAGCAAGTACCAAGCCCGGAACAGTGAAGACCGCTCGGAACTTCGTATCCTCGCAGCCCACTGCCATTTGAACCGAACAATGGTAGTCACCAGGAGCCAGGGTGACGCTGCAGACCAGGATAAGATCACTGAAGAAATTCGAGTGGAGCACGAACGTTTGCGGAGAATGGCATTGGATCCGCCGGCGTCGCCCACCGTGGCGCCAACCGAACGTGGAGGCCCATCCCTACGGGGGGAGGCCTGCGATCGTCAGACAAGGGAGCTCTACGAACCCACCGCTGGACCGTCAACTGCTATGAACCCCGCAGCCCAGTCATCACGACCGAGGTCCCCTGCATACTCGCATCGATCGACAGCGAGTGTGGCGGCGCGACTACAACTGGCAGAACTTGAAGCGGAGGAGAGGCTAGCGGAAATTCGACGAACCGAGCTACGCCTGGAAGCCGAACTAATTAAGAAAAGGTTAGCCGTGCAAGTGGCATCTATCCAAGACGAGGCAGAGAGCTTACGCGACGAGCCGCTCGCCGCCGCTGAACGAAGAGTGGACAACTGGTTCCGCAACAACCCGGCGCACGTACGGGGGGAGCGCGGCGAAACGCTTACCACCACGGAGCCCAACGAACGGACGAGACGAACTCGTTTCCACGGCTCACCTTCGCCTGTGAGAAGCCCTTCGCCTGTGAGAAGACCATCTCCCTTAAGAAGAGAACGAACAAGATCGCCTACGCCGGCCCGTACGCGTAGAGGAATAGAACAGCTGGCCGAAGCGATAGAGAAGATGGCAAGGCCGCGGCCCCGGCACGCAGGCGAGCTACCTGTCTTCTCCGGTGCACCGAGCGAGTGGCTGCCATTTAAAGCCGCTGTACGAGACGCAACGGAACTGTACGGATTGTCGGCCGCGGAGAACCTGCAACGACTGAGAGCCTGCCTGAAGGGTGAGGCCCGCGACGCTGTGGCTGCTTTACTACACGCGGCTACGGACCCGGCGATTATTATGAGGACGCTGGAGCAGTGTTTCGGGAAGCCCGAGGTGATCATCGACCGGGCACTCGATGAACTACGGAGAATGCAGAAACCGGGTGCGTCAGCCACGGAACTGAACACGTTCGCCGTGAAGCTTCAGAACGTTGTCTACGTGCTGAAAACCATAGACAAGCGTGGATTTCTGTACAACCCACTGCTGGCTCGAGAAGTGCTTGACAAGTTGAGCCCGCACATCCAGTCCCGCTGGTGCGACTACGCCGCAGACCACGAAGGAACAGCAGACCCAGAGATCGTCGTGTTATCACGTTTCCTTATGCGCGAGGCCGACAGAGCGCTGCGCTATATGTACTCGCCCGCCGCGAGTACTGCCGCAACAACGAGGAGAGAAGTAAGACCCGCGATAGTGAAAAGGAAGGTGAACGCCGTGTACACTGCCACTGAGAACGAACAAACGGACCGCTGCCCGAACTGCGGCCAACCCCACGCGCTACACCGGTGCCCGTCCTACAAAGCACTCAGTGTTGAACAGCGCTGGAACATGGTGCGAGAAAAAGGAGTGTGCTTCCGATGCGTTGAAAAACGACACCGTCGCCAATTTTGTAAGGCAAAGCTGTGCGGCGTGAACCAATGTCGCCGCCCGCACCACCCTACTCTGCACGAGGAACTGAGTCAGCCCATTGCGCAGCCTGCAGCACCGCTCACAACGCCGCCTGAAGTGACCCCACCGAACGCGCCGAAGCACCACGAGACCGTGCTATCACTGGGCACGCTACCACCGAAAGAGAAGGAAGTGCTGCTCAAAGTGGTTCCAGTCACTGTAACGGGACCACTGGGAAGTGTGGAGATATACGCACTGATGGACGAGGGCGCCACAATAACCCTCATCGACGAAGAACTGGCACAGCGCATCGGAGCGGAAGGACCCTCAACACCGTTGCGCCTACATGGAGTGAATATGACACAAGAACATCAGAGCCGAACCGTCAGCTTACAGCTGAAAGGAACAACGCAGGACAAGCCGATGAACATCCGAGCCCGCACGGTGCGTGATCTGAAGTTGCACCAGCAGTCCATACCGAGCTCGCTGCTGGAGGCAAAGCATCTACGGGACATATGGGAAGACGTGTGCTACGATCTGGCACGCCCGCTCCTCCTGATCGGCAGCGACAATTGGGAGCTGATAGTGAGTCGCGAACTACGAGTTGGTGGACGCAACCAACCAGCTGCATCCCGAACACAGTTGGGCTGGGTGGTACACGGAACCGTACCACGGAACGCCGTCCATCAACGCAACAATGTGCTGCACGTGTGGACTCCTGATCATCCACTACACGAGAACCAGCAGCACGACGACCGCCTACACGAACTGATCGAGGCACACTTCCGCATCGACGCTCTCGGCATCGCGCACAGACCGCGCGTGAGTGCTGCGGACCAACGAGCAATCGAAATGGTGAGAAGAACTATGAAGAAAGTCGATGGCGGCTACGAGGTTGGTTTGCCGTGGAAAACCGACGGAACTACGATGCCTCCGAGCTACGAGGCAGCGCTACGACGACTACGCGCCATAGAACGTAAAATGGACGCCGATCCCGCCTTCGCCGAACAGTACACCGCCCAAGTGGAGAACCTATTCAACAAAGGCTACGCGGTGCCATGCGACGGCACTGAACAAAACAGCGCTGTTAGTTGGTATCTACCACACTTTGCCGTACAGAACCCGAACAAGCCCGGTAAGCAGCGACTTGTGTTCGACGCGGCGCACAAGAACCGAGGCGTGAGCCTGAACGACCAGCTGCTGGAAGGCCCGGACCTACTGCTATCACTGCAGGGCATCCTCTTCCGATTCCGTGAAAAGCCGATCGCCGTCACCGCCGATATCCAAGAGATGTTTCTGCAGGTGAAGATCCGACCGGACGATCAACCGGCACAGCAGTTCCTGTGGAGAGGGGAGAACAGAACTGACCCACCACGATGCTTCAAAATGAGGAGCATGATATTCGGCGCAGCCAGCTCCCCATTCATGGCTCACACAGTCCGCAACCACAATGCGATCATGCACGCAGAGACCCATCCGCGAGCATTAGTGGCAATTACTCAAAGCCACTACATGGACGACCTGGTGGACAGCTACGACAGTGAACACGAAGCTCGCGCCACCATACAAGAGCTACGTGAAGTACACGCAGCGGCCAGTTTCACGCTAAGGCGCTGGAGCTCAAGCCATCCGAACGTGCTGCGCGACGTCCCGACAGAACTCAGAGCAACTACGCCCACCGCGCTCGGGACGATCGAGAGTATGGAAAACAAGATCCTGGGACTCTACTGGAACCCGCAAACAGATGAACTCGGTTTCGACACAGCCATGAACCGGGTCCCAGCCGAGGTGCGCAACCAGAGCCGCGCACCCACCAAGAGAGAAACACTCAGTGCGGTCATGTCGATCTATGACCCGCTGGGACTGCTAAGCCATTACACGATCAGAGCAAAGATCGTGCTTCAAAACCTATGGCGACTAGAAATACCATGGGACGAGCCGATCCCTGCGGAAGAAGCCGAACTCTTCGCATCCTGGCTGCGACAACTGAACGAAATCGCACGCCTGCACCTGCACCGGAACTACGCCCTGGAGAACCATGAGCACACTGAACTACATGTGTTCTGCGACGCGAGCGAACAAGCGTACGCTGCTGTGGCCTACTGGAGGGTTGTACACCAAGACGGTAGCGCGAAAGTGACCCTAGTTGGAGCAAAGGCTAAGGTGGCACCACGGCGTACACAAAGCATCCCGCGCCTTGAACTACAGGCTGCACTCATCGGAGCAAGACTCGCCGACACTATCAGGCGCGAGCACCGCATCGAGATAAAGAAGACCATCTATTGGACGGACTCATCAACCGTAGTCCACTGGGTGCGTAACGACGCGCGACGATACACTCCATTCGTTGCACATCGGCTAGGGGAGATCGCCGAACTCACGCACAAAGACGAGTGGCGTTGGCTGCCGACCGCTGACAACCCAGCCGACGATGCCACAAGACAAAGCCAGACTCCAGTACGCATGGAAGACCGATGGTTCCAAGGACCCGGATTCCTACACGAACCAGAGGACCGGTGGCCCACAGAACAGGAACCTCATGAAGATGGAGAGGAAGTCCTGCACCTGAGCCAGCAGGACGAGAGCCACTTCGACTGGATGCCTGACCCGACCCGCTTCTCGAGATTCGAGACGCTAGTAAGAGCAACCGCGAACATACTGGCTTTCACAGACATCTGCCGGAAGCGAGCGACCCGCATGGAGCTACAGCACATAGAACGCGCCGAACGAGCTCTCATGCAACGAGCACAGGAGGACGACTTTGGAGACGAGCTGAAGAGGATCAAAGCAGTTCGCCCAATCCCTAGAACGAGTCGTCTGTACAAGCTGGACCCCGTAATCGACGACGGCCTCCTGCGAGTACGAGGACGCATTGGAGCCTCAAGTGCGCCCTCCGACGCAAAACGACCTATCATCCTAGACGGTCGTCACCCCATCACGCGACTCATCGTATTGCGAGAACACGCCGCAGCAGGACACGCTAACAGAGAGCGAGTAACGAACGATCTACGACAGCGATACTGGATCATACGGCTACGACCCACCGTACGCGCCGTCGAGTATAGCTGCGCCCTCTGCCGGGTCACAAGGTCTAGGCCCAGAGCACCAGCCACAGGAGACCTGCCACGCGCCCGCCTCGATCCATTCCACCGCCCCTTCACGAACTGCGGGGTAGACTACTTCGGGCCCATTACTGTAAAAGTGGGACGCCGCCGAGAGAAAAGGTGGGGCGCACTATTTACCTGCCTCACCACACGAGCCGTTCACCTCGAGCTTGTCGCTTCTCTCTCTACGGATTCGGCACTAATGGCGTTGAGACGAATGGCAGCACGCCGCGGATGGCCGCGACTGATGTACTCAGACAACGCAACCAACTTCCGCGGCGCCGATCAAGAACTGAAAGCCGCATACGCCGAATGGGCACCCGCCCTAAGAGACGAAGGACTGACCCGGCGTATGGAATGGCGCTACATAGCACCTGGCGCCCCGAACCAAGGAGGCGCATGGGAACGCATGGTGCGCTCTGTCAAGACAGCGCTACAAGCAACGCTTCGAGAAAAGGCACCATCAGACGAAGTGCTAAGAACCCTCCTGACCGAAGCCGAGTATTCGATCAATGCTCGGCCCCTAACGCACGTGAGTGTGGACCCTCGCGACCCCGAGGCCCTCACGCCGAACCATTTTTTGCTGGGATCTTCAACGGGTCTACCGAGAACAGGACCCTGTGACGAAGCCGACAGACGAACCTGGCGTACTAGCCAAGCACTCGCAGACCAATTCTGGAGACGCTGGGTACGGGAGTACTTGCCGACCCTAGTACCGCGAGGAGAACCAGCTAGAAAGAATGACACGTCAAAACTACAAGCCGGCGACATAGTGGTTGTCGTCGACAGCACGCTACCGAGGAACGTATGGCCAATGGGAAGGGTAGAACGTACGTACCCTGGGCCTGACGGCAGCGTACGAGTCGCCGATGTCAGAACGAAGACCGGCGTCTTCAAAAGGCCAACATCGAAGCTCGTCGTCCTACTAAAGGAAGAGGAGGCTACGCAAAGCTGCGCCGGGGGGAGAGATGTTGCGGACACCGAGCTACATAATCCGCGCCGACCGCCTACTCGCCAACCACTGTACTAGAT